CAGCCTCTCAAGCAGTTGGAACAACTGGCGGGTGCCACCATACCCAGCTAATTTTTAAAAGTTTTTTTGTAGAGACTAAGTCTCAAACTCCTGGGCTCAAACAATCCTCCTGCCTCTGCCTCCCAAAGTGCTGGGATTACAGGTGTGAATCTCCTTGTCTGGCCTCCTATATACCTCATAAACCTACAGCAGATTCCCTTTCCTGGGCTTGTCAAGGGCAAAGGAGTGAGCTGTGATTAGAATTGTTAGTTGACCTGCTGGGCTTGGTGGCTCATGCCTGTAATCCTAGCAATTTGAGAGGCAGAGGTGAGAGGATTGTCTGAGTCCAGGGATTTGAGATCAACCTGGGTAAGTTGGCGAGACCTTGTCTCTACAATAAATTTTAAAAATTAGCTGAGCATGGTAGCACATACCTGTGGTTCCAGCTACTTAGAAGGCTGAGGCGGAAGTATCACCTGAGACCAATAGGTTGATTTTGGCCTTATTAATGTCTAGGTGGTCATATATAGATATGAATTTGTGTGTAAGACAGTGCCTTGTCCAGTTTCAGTGGTTGCCAGAGTGATGGTGATAACACCAGCAAGGACGATGACAAGGGCCAGCATTTCTTGGGAGCTGATTGTGAGCCGGGACCTATCCTGAGCATGTTGCACACATTTCAATGGATCCTCACAACTACACTCCCTCTTTATTTTACAGATGAATAAAACAGAAGCGCAGAGAGGTCAAGTACCTTGCTCAGGGTTGCACAGCTAGCGAGCAATAGCGAGAAACACCTAATGATACAGGACATTGACTATCCACTGTCAGCTCCTTGTGGGCTCCTCCGTGAGTGCTCTTAGCACCCAGGACCCTCTTTCCCCACACTGGTCGGATATTGTTCCATTTCTCCATCCTTTTTTTTTTTTTTTGAGTTGGAGTCTCTGTCACCCAGACTGGAGTGCAGTGGCCGATCCCGGCCACCGCAGTCTCGACCTGCTGGGTTCCAGCGATCCTTCCGCCTCAGCCTTCCAAG